TCATTAATTTAAAAAAATGTTCAAAGAAGCTCAAGTAATGAATGCCTTAAATTCAATTTTAATGTTCATTTTTTTAACTATAATTATATTTTTAAATAGAGATTGGCTGAGATGTTAGACTTTGAAATATCAGTCAAACAGCTGAAAAAGAGTCAAAATATTTTCAAAATTGTATGGTGTATAGGAAATGCTAATATAAACATTCAGTGAAATTTTCATGTATCTACAGTTATTCGTTTTTGTATTACAACAAAATAAGGAAATCGCTACATGAGAAATCGAGTGAATATCCAATGTTGTAAAAATTTGAATTTCAAACGCTCATAAAAATTTAATTTGACTTTCTTATAGACATTTTTTTTTTGATAAATGTAGATAATCTTATTAGGAATCTTGTATTACATTTTCAAATCTTAGATTTAAAAAGAAAAATTTTTACGAATTCTTAACTCAAAATAATTTGCTAATTTTCTAAATTTTTCCATATTTTGTCAATTTTTGAACTTTAAATGCTTATAAAAAAAAATTGTGACTAAGGATTTTTAATATTTTTCATCTGCCTTTGAAACAATATACTAGGAGCCTTCTCTTAAATTTTCAAGCTTTCGCAACCAACAAATAAAATGTTATTGATATTTTTAGAAAAAAAACTAAAAAAAAATGGAAAATAAAAATGTGCCTAAACAGTTCAAAATAAATCAAAATATTTTGAAAATGTTATCGTGTATAGAAAATGTAAATATAAACAACCAGTGAAAATTTCATGTATATACGTTTATTTGTTTTAGAGTTACACTAAAAACCAAAATCGATTTTTTGGAAATCCGATTTTGCGTAAAAATTCCCGTTTTCCCTTAATTTTTATGTTGTTTTTCCCGGCGCTTGTGAAAACTACTATTTTTACTTTTGACCCCCAAAGTACCAACTAGATTCACTTTCCTATCAGAAAAGCTACTGTTGAAGAAAATCCAAGCACTTTTACTGTCCTAAAACGTGATGACAGACACAAAAAAAACAAAAAAATAAAAAAAAAACACACATCATTGTAAAATCAATACATTCATCGTTTCACTCAGAATCTAAAAGAAAAATAGATCTGATATTATAACTTATAAGACACTAAAATAAAGATATAAAAATATAAATAATGTGTTATTTTTTTTTTTCATTTACTAGGTATAACATGTTATTATTATAATAAACCCCCCCCCCATATAAAATTCCTGTCTACGGCACTGAGAACAATAGAGAGGTCAAGAGTAAAAATTTTAAATTATCATATAATTTATGACCCGGTATAGTTGGTTGTTGCAGTAAGCTGACGTTTTTACATAAGAACGGCGTACCAAAGTCCAGACGGCTATAACAATATCACACCACCTAATTAGGTTACTTTTACCATCGCATCAGATTAGTGCTGGACACAGCACTAACACATCCCAGTGGCGTAGTGTTTACTGGGGGGATATGGAGGATTGACCCCCCCTTGACCTTTTTTTGTGAAGTTAAGTTTTCTCATTTTCTGTATTTCTCAATATGATATTACTTTTAAGTATGTCTGTTTTCTAAATGTTCTATCCGTGGTAATTTTTACACTCTGATATATACTATACGCCACTATTTTTTTTTTTATAGTCGTTCGTGGCATATTATATGTGGCATATATATAGGACAACAAAAACATATACCTCTATGGTACTATGGTAGTATGGTGTAAGTACTGTATTTTTTACTTTTCTGCGAATTATAATTTTTCATGCAAAGCGTTTATAATAAATGCGATAAACAGTTGGTAAATAAAACAAAATTAACATGAAAATTGTAGATTTAAAATATTGCGTGGGTTTATTTTTAGTAGGTAACTGATGTGTAGTTATTGACTGAAAAAATTTTATTCACCTCTGGTTTACATGCTTTAGATATTTGTTATAAAGAGTTTATACAAATATTTATGAACTCTTGAAAATATTTTGTACTTTCCCTGTATCAACTGCTACTCCTGAACGAATTTTTTCAAGTTTTTATTAGGTAAGAAGTCTTACCTAATATAAATAGTATGACAGAAGTAAATATTTTATCAATTTTCCTATCTAATATTGAATAACAATTATAAATTAAGTAGTAATTAATTTTTATATACTTTGTTTATTAGAACCGATTAGGGCTAACCCTATCCAGGGGCGGACTGGCAGATCGGGAGATCGGGAAATTTCCCGATGGGCCGGTCGAATAATGATGGGATTATAGGCCGTCTCGGGCGGGGCAGTTTGATTGTACAAATAACTAACTTATATTATGATTTTTAAATTTTAATAATATAGTATTCAGTGTTTGGTGTATTTAAAATCTATAAAATATAACATAAATAATACGATAATAATCATACCAAAAATTATATTTTGTTGTTCTAAGACACAGTTATAAAAATAGAAATAATAGCCAATAACGCATCCGGCAACCATTTGGGTTTGTATCAGTGACTGACTTTTGAAAACCACCAGGACATTTTTATTTTTGACCCCCCAAAGTACCAACTAGATTAACTTTCCTATCAGAAAAGTGAATCTAGTTGAATAAAATCTAAGTATTTACTATTTTTACTGTCCTAAAATTTGATGAAAGACGCAAAAATAAAAAATAAAATTAAAATTAAAAAATTAAAAAAAAAACATCATTGAAAAATCAATACATTCATCACTTCGCTCAGAATCTAAAATGTAATAAGATAAAACTTCAAGTTCGAGTTAGAACAGTCTGAACAGGTTAACCTTATCTGACTAACCCTAAACTGTTATAACTTTAATTATAGGTACCTATTATATATTTTACTAATTTATGGGTGAAACTAAACAAATTTTGAAATGTGAGTAAAATGGTGAAAATTTTTTTTTTTGGTGGGGGGTTACATTTGCGGTGCAGGGCCGGTTTGATCCATATTTCCCGGGCCGAAAAAATTCGCCAATCCGCCCCTGACCCTATCTAACCTAACCTAACCGACTAGGGCCCGTTTTACAATCATAGTTTAAACCTCGGTTACACTTAAGACTTAACCCACTGATTTTATAGGCCGAATTCCGAGGTTTAACCTATTGTAATACGGGCCCTTATTTCTTAATGTGTTGACTTTATTGGCATGTCACCGGTCAATACAATAATAATGCCAGATGAGGTTATCGATGAACCGAGCATCCAAAAAATTAGAAAACTGGATTTTGTATTATAACTATTTTTTTTGTTTATCGTATTAAACACGGGATTAGCGCTAGAATGAATTCATAATAAATGCTATTATAAGCAGCATTAGGTAGGTACTACACAGTTTGTGTTTCTTATTTCGCCTTGATCCACTTACATTTCAAAAATGTATATTATGTACGTATTAATGGGTGTATTATTAATTATTATATATTTCATCCTCCTCCCTAGCAAAATTCTTAAATACGCCACTGACACATCATAATATGATGTCAATCACCCCCTCCTTAGTCACGACATGTTCCATATAAATAGAAACCCTTATTTCTCAAAGGACTTCAGCTGAGTAGCTACAGAGGAGACAAAAGAAACTTATAGTACTTGTGTATGGGCCGAGGACTAGTAACAGCCGCATTGCCGTCCGCATTAAGTACACTCCTAGTTTTAGTTTAACTTACAATACTCTCCGGCAGAATCATATATTTTGTCGGCAAGCTTTAAAACCTCACTTAAATTCTGATTATTTTTATTGTGTACCTAATCAACAATTATCATATTTAACATATTGTGTTCAATATTTATTCAACAAACTTTAAACCTCTTCCAATCGGGACCAATCCAATACACGACGTGTACGCGCCTCCGTCGTTAAAGAAGCGTGCAGTAACCAATCAAGTGACAGCGACAGGTTACTACAGTGCTTTTCGATTATAGGTACTCATATAAACGTAGAAGAGTTAAGAGTATTGGACTGATACAACTGTAACCCTTCACTATTATAGTATTTAGTAGTGACTCACTATTATTTTTTTTTTATATAATATAGAATTCGGATTTCCGTCTGACCTCTGACCAGTGACCGATTTTGACGTTCGGTATTTTATTTTTAAATAATGACAATATTATTCTTATCAAGTTCTGTAGTGTTTGTATCACAGAATAATTTATTTTGTACTTAGTACTTTGTAGCACTAATATTATAGTGTATAATGTATATTAGAGAGCCTGTGAGCCAAGATAATAAAGAACGGAAAAATAATAGCATTGAATAAAACTCAATGGTCATAGATAATATATAAAGGCTCTCTTGTTTACATACTATATACATAGATAATACATTATATATCATCTATAACTATATTTATGGTTTGTACATAATATTATTATCTATGACCGTACTATCATATTGAATTGGTTATGTTAATATGTTATGATGTTATATTATGGTGTTAAACCTTGAATTAAAAAAATATGTTAAAATAATATGTTGTAATATTGTATAACTTTGTAGATAACACTCGATAACAGCGTCACGATGTACATCAGCTCATCAGCATCGTAAACAATTTTATATAAATGTAACATTTATTTAGATTTACAAATTATAAAATATAAATTTATTATATTACTGTGAGGGGAATAATTTTTAGTCATTCGTCAATCGTCATTACTAAGGATTAAAATTATTATTTATTACATACCGTCCTTTAATTTTAAATACTCAAAAAACACTGATTGTGCGATCGATATTGACCATGTGAGACGATAACTATTACGGTTTTCATGGTGATTACTTAATACTTATTTGTTCGATTAGACCACAGAATATATGAAAGAATATAATGTGATTAGACTTTAAACTGAAAGACACTAATGCAAGTTCGTCATTGTCGTCGTTCTTCTCTTAGTCTTGAGACGTTCCTGTTCGATTTTTGTACTATTTACACGTTTTACAATGCGATTTAAAGAAAATATTCATCATCAAGTATAAATTATTATACATTTCAATAATTGTTTGTCAGCTAATGGTGAAACTCTATCATCTGACAATGAGTCACGACATAGAGGAAACAGAGTAAGTAAATAATATCACAACGTAACAATTTTTAGAGTTTATTCCGAGCTTATTATAACCATTTTTAAACATCTAATATCCACCTAATTCTCTTTAACCACGTCCATTGAGAAGTGTACAACTCTGAGCAATATTGATTATTGGTGTCTGACTCTTATTGTTATTAGGCAATTAAGTCACAAGGATTTATTATAATATAAATATTGTTATAGGTATAAAGTAAATAATCAGTTATAATACCGATTGTTTCCTTTTAAAATAATTTTTTTTTGAATATTCATTACATTTTTCACAATTTAATTTAAAAATGTCTAGATTATAATTGATTGCAATTTCTATTATGAATACACTGTTGGGATACCTGTTTTAATTAGATACATCTATATAAATCTTAGATACTCACTTAAACATTTTAATTTTAATATCTTACAACTTGTAATTTGTTTCAGGAGGTTGATTACAGCCAAAGATGAGCATAAAGACTCAAAATGTTGTGGTTTCTGGTGCCAACTTGTACTCTCATTGCTCGGAATTATATTTCTATTCACAGGAATTATCATGGCCGATTTGTGGCCACAGATATTTAACAATATAATGAAAAATGTAATGCTTGATTTTATTTAACAGTTTGAATAAACTCGTGGGTTAAATTAAATTAACGCTAGTTATTTTTCTCATTATAATTATTAATTAGTACTTGTTGTTCCATATCTACTACTATAGTCTGTCTACCACTATTGAGTTTGCTGGAATTTCACTTTTCCTATAAAAAATGTCTTATAACAAATCTTATGAATAATATAAATTATTCTAAACTTATAGTTCTAATTAATGTTTTGTGTTTTTCAGAAACTTGAATTGGAAAATAATACACTAACTTATGAGTATTGGAAACAAATTCCAGCGCCATTGTACATGAGCGTATACTTATTTAACTGGACAAACCCAGAAGCTACGCTACAGACAGGAGATTTACCAATACTGCAACAGTTAGGACCATACGTCTTCAGGTACCTATGAAATATAAATATTAAATTACATTTAATTAAACTTTGAATTAGAATCAAAAATTGATTAGAAAACTTATTAATTTAAAATTCTTCAATACTATATTAATTACCTATATAAACAATGAAAATAAAATATGTGTAATGTCAGAGAAAACCGTACCAAAGTGAATGTGACATTCAACAATAATGAAACGGTAACATACATGCAGTTGAAAAGTTGGAAGTTTGATCAATCTCTTTCAAATGGCTCATTATCCGACAATGTTACCACAATTAATATTGTGGTTAATGTAAGTTTTGTAGTGAAAATGTTGAATATTTTAACTATATCACTTTAAACTTTTGTAGATTTTGGGTGAAAAACTACAAGCCTTGAATAAACATTGGATATATGTTCTTACTAACTACTATTTGAAACTGTCAAACATTAACAAGCCATATGTAACAAGGACAGCTGGAGAATTAATTTTTGATGGTTACGAAGATCCGCTTTTGGACATTGCAATCAAACTGAAAGCTTTTTTCCCCATCGACATACCGTTAAAAAAAGTGGGATGGTTGTATGGTGTAATATATATTTATTTATTTATTTGGAAACTATTAACGTTATAATATATTCTTGATTAACCTCATATTATTTAAAAAATTAATTACCCAATAAATTTACAGATGAATATGTCTACTTCGTCAGATGGCTTAATCAATATGTATACTGGGAAAAATGACATTGAAAATGTTGGACTTGTGCATTCGGTAAATTACAATACGAAGTTGAATGTGTTCAAGAAAGATTGTAGTTATTCAAATGCTTCTGCTGGCGATCTATGGCCTGAACACACTGCAATGCAACCTAACATGTCAATTTATATACCTGGTATTTGCAGGTATTTAAATTTATGTATGAACTATGAACTATAAATTCTAAGACTGTTTCTTTATCCCAATTTACAGTTAAATTTAAATACAAAATAAACATAATGAAAGAAAATCTCTATATTAACCAAAATGTTTAAAGGATCTCAATTTATTGATATTTTAGATTAAACCTTTTGTTAAAAATATGTGTAGCCTAAAATTATTATTTATGCTTATGTAAGATGTTAAAATGAAACTACTAAATTAGTGTCATTTTCAAATATTAATTAATTTAAATAAATTTAAAAATAATTATTTACTAGATTAAAATAATTTCTAGTGCAATTACTATGCTGAACAACAACTATACATACATTAATGGTATAAAAGGAATTGAATTTGTTGCTGGATCTGATGTTTTTAACAATACTTGTTATTGTCCAACATCTGGATGTCTGTTACCTGGGGTACGGCCATTAAGTTTATGTGGAGACAATGCACTTCCTATATTCATATCATTTCCACATTTCTATTTAGCTGATAAATCATACAGAAAATCAGTAATTGGTATGAATCCCAACCGGACTTTGCATGAATTTAAAATGATTTTGGAAAATGTAAGTTAACATTTTATTTTTACAATAATTAAATATTATTATGATGTTTAACTTTAAAATAAGCAGGTAAGTGGATGTCTATCTGCTGTACAGTAGGTTACAAGTGGGTCACTGTAATGGATGGTATTAAATTTGAATTCAATGATATAATATCATTGTATACGAAAAAGGATACTAAATGGAGACCAGTCCAAGTTGAATTAATATTATAAAATTACAAAAAAAATAACTAGTATCATTATTCTTGGTTATTTAATATGTTATTTCTATAAAATAAAAATAGTGTTTATGTGTATTTTTTAGATTTTTTGGTTACAGAATTAACTGTTTAAGTACAACCATGTTTTAAATTTTAAATTTTAAAATTATGTCAAAATATAAACTTTATATTTTTGATATTGTAACAATATGTGAGGAGCTTTGTATTCAATTTTCAAACATTTTGACACAACAAATAAAATTTTATTGATATTTATTATTTAAAGAAAAAAAAAATTGAAAAATTGAAAACTGAAAATGTTATGGTGTATATAAAATGCTAATATAAACATTCAGTGACAATTTCATGTATCTATGGTAATTTAGTTTAGAGTTACTTCAATATCCAATTTCGCTTTAAAATTCCCATTTTCCATAATTATTTTTCGTTTCTCCCGGCGCTTTTGAAAACTACTAGGAATTTTAAATTTTGACCTCCCCAATGCACCAACTAAATTCACTATCCCATCGAACAAGATATTGATGTTGAAATTGAAGTATCTAAAGTTAATGACAAAAAAAAAATAATTAAAAAACATTATTTTAAAACCAATACCTTCATTGCTCCACTCAGAATTTAAAATAACCTTTTATTAATTGTTACAGGATTATTCAATACCGCTAGAAGTATATGCTAGAATTCAATTTAATATCAAAGTGAAACCAATAAAAGAATTAAAGTAATTACTAATCACATTTGATTTTTTTAATTTTTAATACAAATTTTTATTTATTCTAATTTATATTTTTCAGAATTTTGAAAAACATGCCAGAAATCTATTTACCTGTATTTTGGTTTTCTGAAAGTTTTAAAATTCCACGAAATATGTCCGACCAATTGTTGATTGTTACTAACGTATTACCAATGTTTGTTCCTTACGTATGGCTTGTATTGGCATTATCCGGATGTATAATGCTAGTCTTTAGCACTTACCTATGGGTGAGCAGAAAAAACGAATCCTTCACCATCTTGGACCCCATGTGATAAAGACGTTTTTTATGACGATCTCAATATTCCTAAAAGAAATTTATCAAACTAAAAACATCACTTTGCGGTGATATATTACCATTTTTAACATGGCCATATTAAATAATTTTAAATTGTATTATATTTTATATTATTGATAAGTTAATAACATGACATAATCAACTATTGATTGTTTACTTTCTCTTTACTTAATCACATTTTTAATTACATAATTTACCTATCTATTATCCTATAGATTATTTTCTTACTTTTAAGAAAATCTATGTACTTTTAATTTATGTTGTTATTAATTTAAATATTATTCTTCATTGTTTAAATCTCCTTTGAAATTTCTGTCAAGTTAAATTAAAAGTGTGCAAATTATAAATCTGAATTTAAATTAATACTGATAAAAGCCATGCTACATGAATAAGGCTATGACAGAAATATTCACACTAAATAGTAAGATAAGTGTAAAAAAAAAAAATGTTTTTGACTATAATGTGTATGATAAGGTCACATTTTTAAATGTTATATCTTTCAAAATTACTGCCAATCCTTAGGAATAGTTTACAATAAATAATATTTGTTATGCCATATTACATTTATTTTTGATAAAATGTGTTATTTTTTTTATTTTGGTTATTCTTGGATAAACAAGATGTAATACATTTGCCAGGTTATAAATGGTTCTTAATAATAATCAATGAAGTTCTGTTTAATCAGTATTCAATAAAGGAACATTCAATGTTTACTGAACATAAAATTATTTATAATCTACTAATATAATGAATAATTATTAGTTATTAATAATTATACAGTTTATAAAGCCCCAATATTTTCTGTTGATATTAAAATATGTTAAACTTTTGCTGTGTAATGAATAATGATGAATATATTTGTCATCTTATAAGTGTCTCCTGTTGAGGAATGAAGGATATTTTAGCATTTCCATATTTATTGAATTTTGACATTAATACTATTTCTGGAACCAGTCACATGGGGAAGCGCAGAACAGTGTGTTCTCTTGCTGGACAGTTGTAGTAGTTTTATCAATTATTTACGTATGACAAAATATTTGTGCATCCATCTCTTGGATATTCATTAAAAAAAGAAAATTAGGATTGGAATTCAGACGGATATTTTTGTCATTACTTTGAACCAAATATTGATAATATTGTTAAAAAGTATTCACTATCTGGACGCACCACTCAAAATAATAATATACTTTGATGAATAAAGGATTAATGTTTGGGCCAACTATAGAAAAACCAATAACTATTGTTTGTCTCACGAGAGAACGGGACCGGCGGCCGACTCGTTCACCGCTGCGTATCCCCAACAAACTTTTCGTTGTAAGCGTGATCACGTGGTCATCCACTCACCAATCGAATCAGTCTACATGCACGAAATGGTACCTTTCTTTCGTGAGACAGACTATACATTATATAAATATTTTTGGAAAAGAGTAATAATTGCTTAATTGATTTAAATCCAAGAGTAAAAATTAAAGTTTAACACATAATTATATTATATTAGTATCTATACCTTAGTTATCTAACCTAACATAGTTATAAAAAACAACAATATAAATTAAAACAAGACATGATCAAATAAATATGTAGTTTGTTGGATAGAAAACTTAATACTCTTTAATAAATAAAGCATGTCTTATTATGTTAGGTTAATTTTTTGTTTTAATAATGATTTAATATTATTAAAGGTTGGTTATTAGACCAATGTTTAAAATATGCTGTATGTTGTAATGGGTGCAGTGCGTTTTTCATTTCTGTTTTGGTTAGTTAGAACGAAAGAACAGGAAAATTTTCCTCATATGACTGCATCATGTTGATCTCGGTTTCCATTTTTTCAAAAGGATCAAAGGCAGTCATATCATGTCTGAAAAATATTTGAAAGGTCTTTAATTACACATGGAAATTTAACCCAAATTCGACAACTTGATTAAAAATTAATGTTAAATGAGTAACAGCGACCTAATTATGATGAATTTATTTACTTTAATGATAATGGAATGTGTAGGTCGCTTATATTATCAATTTTCATTTCTTCCATATTCTCCCACACATTCACCATACACATATCTTTTAGACTGGGCTCTATGAAAAAAGAAAGAAATACAATATATTGTTATTTTTGCAATTCAGATAATTATAAAAAATTTAATATTTTACTCATATCTAAAACATGAAGGTCATCATGATCCTTGAGATTCGAAGTAACATTTATTGGTCCACCCAGATCATAATCCTGCAGTCTCGTAATTATTACTGGTTTGGGAAAAATTGGACTAGTACCGCCGGATATAAATATCCTGTCATTAACTAATTGACAAATCTGTCTTCTTCTAGCACATGGTGGTGTACCCTTCGGTATTATTTTCATCCAGGTGGAACTCACTGGATCATATCGATTTATGTCTTGAAAATGTAAGTCCTTGTTCTTGTTAAACCCACCGAAGATATAAAAAAGGCCATTATACACAACTGTAACCAATCCAACACTTGCATTAGTAACATTATGGTATTTTAAGTAAATAGTTTTGGCATACATGCAGAATGGCTACGCCGTGCTATGGGTTTAACACCATAGACTTTTGGACGTATCCACTGTCTTCTAGAGGTGTCTAAATAATAAATATCGGAACAATATTTATCGTTATCAGTTTGTCTTGGTGCTGACCAATCACTACGGCCACCAAATATATACATTTTATTATCAATAGCCGTTGCAGTATGAAAATCTCTATAAGATGGAGGACGTCCCTATGAAAAATAAATCCATAAAAATTGTTAATGGCATACCAGGTAAATAGATACAATTGTATAATCAAATATTACCTTTGTTTTGAGTATACTCCATACCATGGAGTGTAAGTTTAACATATACAAATCTGAAGCAAATAGACCAGAACGTTCTTCAAATCCGCCAAATATGTACATGCAGTTTTGAATAATACATGCGGAATGGCCATCTCTCGGCTCTGGTTTATTTCCATATACACTTGGTGTTGTCCATTTTAGAGTTTCTAAATTGAAAAAAATATTTTATTGTATAAGAATTATTACCAACATGTTAAATGTTTCTAGGAAAAACATATTTCAAATCAAGAATCAGACCGGCTGTTATTTACTCACGGATAAAATGTTTCATTATTAAAGCTCTAATTTGATTTTTTATATTATTAAAGAAATAACAAAACTTTTCTGCTTTACTCGAGAACATTTTTTGTTTTAATGCAGTGGTTCCCAACCTTTTTAAGTCTACGCTCCTCTTTTAAATTTAAATCTCATGACTTGCCCCCCTTAAATTAGAGTTTAGATGATTTAGTTTGTTGTTTTAGTGACAAAATATAAATCAATTTAATAATTAATAATATTATTTTTATATTTTAAATACAATTTTATAAATATTTTTATACTAAATATTATAGGTAAAATAAATTTATTGTTTTCAATTTTACTGATTGTAAAATGGAATAATTATTTTAACAGCAAAATGTTCGTTATTTTTATAACTATATAACCCCCTGCAGTATCGATATTCCCTTCCAGTTGAGACCCACTGTTTTAAAGTATATAGCAAGCTGAAAACAATGTTGAAGTCAAAATATGGCAGTTATACTTACTTTTGAAGTTATAGTTTTTTGAAGTCCGAGACCCACCCAAAGTGATTTTACATAATAAGTCGAGAAATGTTTTTGATTTTAATTGTCCGAGCGAGCAAGTGGGCCACATCAGGTGTATATAAAAATATTATAAATTTCAATTATCTACAATTTTAAAACCAAGTCCAACCATAAAATTCTGACTTCACCATCGTTTTCTTCAGCATGATAACTACAAAAGTTAAATCAAAAAAAAATTGTGTCTGGCAAAACAGAAATATACCAAAAAAACATCAGTAAGAGATGTACACAGTGGCGTATTTAGGGGGGGTGTCCTGGGGGTTAAAACCCCCCCCAATTTTTTTCTTAGTTATATTCATTACTGAAGTATCACAAAATACGAATAACGAAATATTTTAAAACTGCTTTGAAAAATGAAAATTGAATAATGTATATTTTATATTTTCATCTTATACCAGATAATAGTCAATAGGTATTAGCATTGATTATATATATTGCGTGTATATATATATAAATAGCTCTCTAGGTGCAGCCGTGCAGGCAGTGGCGAAATAACAGAATATTGTGAACTATGTAATTCTTAGAATTGTATTATCGTTTCGGCTAGCCGTATTATAGGCTATCGCCTTATTATCTTTCTTCAAATACAACAATTATTATTATCTACGATAGCAAAAGACCAACGATATAAAGTGTACTATGTACAGTTGATCAGTTGTCAGTTGACAGTTGTACACTCGAAGTACAACAATACGAGACGAATTGGCTGTAAAAAAAAGACGTCTACCTTTAATACTGTGAGGTTAAAGTTTTGAAATTTTAGTGTTTTTTTTTTCTTTTAATATATCTATAATATTATATAAGTATACAAAATAAATTAAACTCATACGAAAAAATACTCAGTAAATTTAAGTGTTAGATTGGTTTTATTTTATTCAGTAAAATTGTTTATACTTTATTCCTGTCATAATTATTTTTTTTTTTTATTGGATAACCCGCGGCAACATAGGCCGTTGGGTGTTAGTGGTTTATTTTTGTGTGTTGTTATGTCGGTAGGGGGAGGAACACGTGTGTGTTGGGTTTGGCAGAATTTTGAATGGGGCACCCGTAGGTTTCTGCCATGCCCCGGAGTGGGGGATGGCGGCACTTGTTCTCCGGACACCGTGACTTGCCCGGAGAAAAATACCGCCCAGTGGTCGAGAGGATCGAACCCGCGTCCGCCAGCGCCGCAGACGACGTGTCCGACCGCTCGGCCACCTCGTCCCCCCCTGTCATAATTGTATTATAATTAAAAATTTAAGTAGCAATCCTATAATTTTTTTACAAAAAAATGTCCACTTATATAAGGTATTAAGATGTATTATAATCAGGTATGAATTAGTGGTGAAACTATGTTAATATTTGTCATTAAATAACTGTGGAGATCAGGAGTCAGGACACCCCCCAAAAAAAAACCCAAAATACGCCACTGGATGTACAAATAATACAATTACAAATATCAATACCTATTTCGACAATATTTAAGAACAAAAACATTATATTTTCCGTAATTAATAGTTTTAAATAATTTTTATGAATTTTTGATGTTAGAATCTTAGTTGTACTCATAGTTAGGGCTGTGAATTAAATGCACTATGAAACCATAAAAATTCATTTAAAATTCAAAAAACTTTAGTCTAAAATCTACTTGATATTCCTATAAATATATTAAAATAACATATTTTTAATATTCTTAAAGAATACCTCTACATACAATTAATTATTTAAAATTATTTTAGTCATTTAAGATTATATAAATCAAATATGTGAAAATTATCAATAGTTAAAACTAAAAAATTACATACATTTTTATATTGCAAAAAATTAACTATACATTTTTAATTTATTTTTATTTTTTGTATTTTAACTTCAGTGCAATTTTTTATTGCCTATCTATACTCCATTCACATTAAGGAACAGGGGTATGCTTTAACCACACAGATGGTTGATCGGCAGGGATGACAAAGATGTGTTGCCTGACCCACCCCAAAGGGGTCGCCGCCGAGGATCCTTCTTAATATGAATGGAGTATTATTATTATTTTTTTTTTTTTGATTGGTAATGAAAACTGAGTTTTGGCTTCAACAACCAGACCATTAGCCATACACAAACTTTTTTTTTATAAATAAAGTTAGTCACATGCTGGCTTTACATAGTTACAACATACAATCCATTTAACAACTTTTAAATAAAAAATATTGATACATACAACAATATGAAAGGCTTTTAGTGGGATATAATAATTGTAATAGTAATAATATAATAACAATTTTATTTATAAGATGTTTGGCTATAGTAAATCAATCTTTTCAATTAATAATTATTTCAATTTGTAATTTATCATTATTCAATTATTTATTTATTTAATATTAAATAATATTTCTATAGTCAATATTCAACTTAAATAACAATTATTTATAGATTTTGGCACAAAGGAGAATAATACTTTTTTTAGATGGTCAACTAACCTGGGGAAAGAGCCTGGTGTAAATATATATTTAGTGACTAAAATGTAAACCTAATATTGATATAAAAAAAATGTAAACATGAAAATTTAAAACATAAAATGTTCAGCACTTTTATTCTACTCAATAATAAAATAATGTCTATTTTGAAGGCTTATAGAAACAATTACTATGGGAATGCAAATTCGAATTGTATTTTAGTTCTATTAACTGCTCAACTAATAATTGATAATGAACTGGTCTGCTATTTATTTGTCTTAATGTATATATCAAGTCTTGACTTGTCATCAGTTCAACTATGCATATTTATTATATGATTTCGTTAGTGAATAAATAATAATTGCAATAACAACATTACAATACCTTTGTAAGCTAAGTGTTAAAATTATGATTTTAAAGCTGCATTGTACAAATATGAATTAAATATTTTAATTAGCATTATACCTTATTAACCTTTTTGGTTTAATTATAATATATTTCTTCTAGATAATGATATAAACTATTATTTATTTATTTATTTTAATTACCTATTTGATAAGTAGCATAAAATCTATGTCTTAAGAGGACGTTAAACCTACATGCGTTTTTCAAATAGACAGTCTCAAATTTGCATGTTATATGCATTTTTTAGTAAGTATTAATATTTAAAATACTCATAACTTGGTTAAAAATCAAAATATCGTTAAAAAAACCAATGAGTGTACATGAATATCCTGACCTTTGAGTTCAAAAATAAGTAAATTCATTCTAATATTTAAGTTAACAACACAAAATTGGAACTGCTGAGCATTCATTGTGGTGAGTGGTATGCAAAAGTTGGACAAATAGACAACACATGCAAGCATATTGTCTTCTTATTTTTTAATAATAAAGAAAAATATAATTTCATTTAGGTACCTATCTAAATATAATTTTTTATTCTTTTACTAAGATTTAAACTAATTAATTACCAGTGTTAAAACAGTACAGTGTGTTGCAAACTCCATTATCATTACGTCCACCCCACAGATAAATATTAGATCCAAGATTAATTGCTGTGTGGCCATACCTCTGGAACGGTACACATGAGCAGTCTTGATTATTTAGCTCCAGTTTCCACCATTTCAATTTTTCTGGAATTACAAAAATAGAATAATATTGATTACATTAGGAATTAACTAGGACAAGCAGCACTAGACTAGACGTCCTAAGACATTTTACCGGTGTCAAGTATATGTATGTCGATCGGCTTGAACTTTTTGTAGTCTACACCACTGCAGTAACCACCAAACGTGAAAATGCTCGTGCCAATAGCGACCGCTGCGTGGTTGACCCGCCTAGGACCACCGTACGTGTGAACCGTCCAATACATCCTATTGTGGAGCTAATGGAATCCGTCGACACACCGCCGGATGAGTTCGAAGAGACTTACGAACGCGAGGCACTGGTTTCACAAACACCAAACTCCTATCGCTTTAAACTCCTACACAGCTTTTTTTTAAAAAAAATTTTCTGACAACACAAGTACCTACAAATCCGGTCACGAGTGAAAACGGGAGCACGAGACTAAGACTTACGAGAGTTGTATGGGACACTTATACCTGCGACATGCGAAAATAGGTGTAAGCACAAATAGTACAGAGTATAGGTATAGGTAGTATACAATAAAACCGTCCTTTCAGGGTACTATAGTGTACAACTCATAGAGTAAGAATATAACTAGGTACAACTACGGAAGACGATGTAGAAAGTTACCTAGGTACCTGCCATCCACGAGAGTACGAGACGCGAGTGATGAGTGACGCGAGTGACGAGTACTTGAAACACGAATGTACGATGAGTTGAAAAATAAATTGTTATAAACAAAACTATAGATAAAAACCGTAATAAAAGATGATAATAATAATAATAATAATAATAATAACAACAACAACAATATGAATGAACTACATAATAATATACAGTATACAGTATATACGGTATACCACAGAACAATATAATGGGTATAGTGTATACACTATACACTCGTCCGCCGTCGGTCCCGTTCGCAGTTGGCAGTTCTTTTCTCGCTGGCGGGTCTTTCTACATTCCTACGGTTGGTGCCTAGTGCTTGTCCCACATTCGTTCGTCGACTGGACGGCCGACGGACCGCCACCGCACTAAAAAAAAAACCACAAGTGGGCCAAGTGGCCTAGTCTCGTGGCCCGTAACATCACCGAACTGCATGGGTGACAACCGGTCATGAGCGGTGAACGGGAAAGTTGTCGAAATCGAAATTGATAGGTATCCCGGCGAGCAGTGACGATAATCGATAATAATATCATGTCCATTGGTGGGTCCGTGCCTCCGTGGGGGAATAACTTCATAACAGTGATATTATTGATTATAGACAGACAATCTTAAAATAAAATTGAACCAAATCGGACCAGCCATTCCCGATTGATTTTCAATTCCAGAGAAAAAATTCCAGAGGGGACTAATGTCTCCATGACTCCATATAGTTTTAAGCGTTCCATATAAATTTATAATAATAGTATACCTACTATATTATAGTTCTATGTATAATGTCTAATATATAAAATTCGAATTTGTTAAAGGGGACGCTTTTTAATCGCCGTCAGTGGTAGGGGGACTGAGTCCTAATGAGTCCCCCCACTTTATCCCCTGTCTGACCGGCGCCCGACGAAAACTGGTAGCCGCCGAGTAATGATCTCATTGTGAATAGAGTATAGGTAGGTACTGCGCCTACCTTTACTGCTCGAAAAATGATTTTCGAATGAAAATACAATTTGGTATCAAAGCATCATACGATTTTGATTCAATATATATGTTACGGTCAAAAGCCGAAATCGGGCAAACCTCAGAAATGCCCGGGCAAAACGCGAACTGCCCACAATCCTTGGACAAAATGTCATATTTGATATTTCGGCTTTTGACCGGGCAAACCTAGTTATGACCAACCTCATTTGGGCAAAACCGTATACTGACTTTTATCGTAATGGCAAAACCGTAGTGTCAATAGTACAATTATACAAATATAACTGAATAAACTTAATTAATACATTTAAACCTCACTTGAGCCAAACTGTAGCGTTTATAATAACCACATACAAAAAAATAATAATCATAAAATATTGAATAGATATATAATTATTGAATACACTTAAATAATAATAAAAATATAATGATATTAAGTACTAGTATAAAAATAAACATATAATAATATTAGGTACTCTTATAATGTTAAAATAAATAATTAATAAAAAATAATATTTTTGTTTATTTGTTGCTACATAATATATCAGAACCATTTAGAACTACACAAAATATTTTGTTGTTTACATTTGCATCGTCTCGTAGTGCACTTAGTTTTGCAAGAACAAAAAATAAACCCTTGTCCTCCAGTTATTGAATTTTGAGTACTAGCAGTCCTCAGTTGTATTTCGATATTCGGTACATCATTCCTACTAATAAATTGTTCCTTGCATTGAAATATTTGGTTTTTGGCATAAAATGATGACAAAATTCCATTTTTGGTTAATATTTTATAGAATCCTTTAATATTATAGGTAACGAGTTGATAAAATACGATAACAACGATAAATTAACAAGATACGTGGGGTCATTTATAATCGTAATAAATTCGTACGACAAAAATCACTATTTCTATTTAATATTAGAGAACGTATATAAGACACTACGGTTTTGCCCAAATGAGGTTGGTCATAACTAGGTTTGCCCGGTCAAAAGCCGAAATATGACATTTTGCCCAAGGATTGTGGGCAGTTCGCGTTTTGCCCGGGCATTTCTGAGGTTTGCCCGATTTCGGCTTTTGACCGTAACATATATATGTATATTTTTTTAGATTCTGAGTGGAACGATGAATGTATTGATTTTACAATGATGTGTGTTTTTTTTAAATTTTTTAAATTTTTTTTTTTATTTTTGTTTCTGTGTACACGATAAGTAGTCGAAATAATGCTTCGATTTTCAACTTCAGTATCTTGTTCGATTGGAAAGTGAATCTAGTTGGTGGATTCGGGAGGTCAAATTTTTAAATTCCCAATAGTTTTCACAAGTGCCGGGATTAAACCCATAAAAATTAAGGTAAACGGACGTTTCGCCCCCGCCGTTTCGTCCCCGTCAAAAAAACCAGTACACGGACGGTTCGTCCGCGGAAATTATTGAGATAGGACGTTTCGTCCCTGAGAGTTATTAGCCATAGAACGTTTGGTCCCCGGTATATTTCCCGTACAATATTATGATTGCAATTTCTTTTCCTTAAAACTAACTTTTTTTCGGTACATTTATTATTTCATTTTGTTTTTGTACCAATACAGTCGTTACAGTCGCATTGCACACCTGTATTGAATACTCTCTGTATCAAATACTCTTAAAATAAAGTAGGTAGTTAAATAAATATATAAATATATAATATTACATTGTTATAATGTTAAAGTAAAACCACGACGTCATGGTATTTTTATTTAACAAGAATAATTATAAGTAGAAACAAATTAAGAATAAAAAGAATAAAAAAAAAGTATTCAATAAGGAAAAAAGTATTTGAATACTTTTACTCAAATACTTTACAACACTGTATAATATTAGACATTACAGAATTGTTCATTAAAAATAAATGTAGTAAATGTAAGTAAAATAATGAACTTTGAAGTAATAGTTAATAACCTGAGAACCGAATGTCCTATACCTAATGAAAATATGCCGGGGACCAAAAGTCCTATGGCTAATAAGTAATAACTTTCCGGGAAGAAATGTCCTATCCAGGGACGGATTGGAATTTCAGACCAGCCCGGGAAAATGCTTTTTTACCGGCCCCCTATTTGTTGGGAGATTGGGGGCAACTGGCAAGTGTACACCATACTGAAGATGAAGATAGTAATTTTTTTTAGTATTTTAAATATCAGTTGAATATTACACTAAAATAATTTAACGTATATATTCATATTAAAAAAAAAAAAAAATAGGTACCTATTTAAGTATTTTGAAAAATATGTTGTTTCTCTCATTCTCTATCAATAAAATAAATTGTAGATTATTGTACTTTAAGACTATCTTTAATCGTGTTTAACAGTAACAGTTTAATATTTTTAATTATTAATATATTTCTAAAAATAGTATTTTTTTTATTTTTGTCTTTGATTTTTTCAGCTCCTCATTTTCGTTTTTTACTTCAGTTTGATCCATCCATTTCCATTTTATTTTATAATTCGCCACTATTACTATTGTAATACAAAATATTTTATTCTTATTTCTTTAATAAAATATTCTTATTAGGTATTCATATTAACGAGTAACGACCCGCGTCGACTTGTATCATCAAAATTCGTCGTAATTACTCATTAAACTCAACCCGCCTGCCCATCTGATCGACGACAACCCGAATAACCAATTATTTATAGATTTTACTGTCTACGGAAGTTGATTTTTTGATTACGGTTACCTATTGTTATTGATAATTAATATTATTATTCAGTTTCTGTCGTAGACGTTGTATAGGTACTTGTATTATTACAATTTACAACGTTTTACGTTGTAATATTATAGACTGTAATATCATTGAATGAATAATCTATAATCAATGGTAATATTTATTAATTATTAGATTATATTTACTGTTTAGTACGCGGCCCATCGGGAAATTCCCGATTTCCCTATGGCCCAATCCGTCCCTGGTCCTATCTCAATAACTGCCGGGGACGAAACGTCCGTGGACTGGTTTTTTTGACGGAGACGAAACGGCGGGGGCGAAACGTCCGTGATTCAAAAATTAAGTAAAATAACGGGCATTTTTACGCAAAATCTGTTTTCCAAAAAATCGATTTTGGTTTTTGGTGTAACTCTAAAACAAATTAACGTAGGTATATACATGAAATTTTCACTGGTTGTTTATATTTGCATTTTCTATACACGATAAAATTTTTAAAATATTATGATTTGTTTTGAACTGTTTAGGAACATTTTCATTTTCCATTTTCATTTTCCATTTTTTTTAAATTTTTATTCTAAAAATACCAATACAATTTTATTTGTTGGTTTTGAAAGCTTGAAAATTTAATAGAAGGCTCCTAGTATATTGTTTCAAAGGCAGATGAAAAATATTAAAAATCCTTAGTCACTTTTTTTTTTATAAGCATTTAAAGTTCAAAAATTGACAAAATATGGAAAAATCACGAAAATTAGCAAATTATTTTGAGTTAAGAATTCGTAAAAATTTTTCTTTTTAAATCTAAGGTTTTAAAATGTAATACAAGATTCCTTATAAGATTATATACCTTTATCAAAAAAAAAATGTCTATAAGAAAGTCAAATTAAATTTTTATGAGCGTTTGAAATTCAAATTTTTACAAC